TACATGTCCAGGCCCGTCTGAAGTTTGCTAGAGTGCATTTGGATGATCCAGAAGAGGATTGGGAGAATGTCATATGGTCAGATGAAACCAAAATATAACTTTTTGGTAAAAACTCAACTCGTCGTGTTTGGAGGACAAAGAATGCTGAGTTGCATCCAAAGAACACCATACCTACTGTGAAGCATGGGGGTGGAAACATCATGCTTGGGGCTGTTTTTCTGCAAAGGGACCAGGACGACTGATCCGTGTAAAGGAAAGAATGAATGGGGCCATGTATCGTGAGATTTTGAGTGAAAACCTCCTTCCATCAGCAAGGGCATTGAAGATGAAACGTGGCTGGGTCTTTCATCATGACAATGATCCCAAACACACCGCCCGGGCAACGAAGGAGTGACTTCGTAAGAAGCATTTCAAGGTCCTGGTGTGGCCTAGCCATTCTCCAGATCTCAACCCCATAGAAAATCTTTGGAGGGAGTTGAAAGTCCGTGTTGCCCAGCGACAGCCCCAAAACATCACTGCTCTAGAGGAGATCTGCATGTATGAATGGGCCAAAATACCAGCAACAGTGTGTGAAAACCTTGTAAAGACTTACAGAAAACGTTTGACCTGTGTCATTGCCAACAAAGGGTATATAACAAAGTATTGAGAAACTTTTGTTATTGACCAAATACTTATTTTCCACCATAATTTGCAAATACATTCATTAAAAATCCTACAATATGATTTTCTGGATTTTTTTTCTCATTTTGTCTGTCATAGTTGACGTGTACCTATGATGAAAATTACAGGCCTCTCTCATCTTTTTAAGTGGGGGAACTTGCACAATTGGTGGCTGACTAAATACTCTTTTTCCCCACTGTATGTGTATGTATGTATATATATATATATATATATATATGTATGCGAGAAAAAAAAAACGAAAAAAACATATGGGGGATTGGAAGTGATGCAGACAATTACATTGATGGAAGTTACAATCTATCTGCAATATTAAAGCTGAGCTACCCCCTAAAAAAACATATGAAAAAATGAAAAAAAAGATTTACAAAAACACCACTCTAGCTCTGTCACCTTTCACCGCAGATGTGGACGTGCGATATAGGTGGATAAGGTGGGTTGAGAAACATCCAATACAAAAAAACTAATATCTCTAGCTTAAATTGACATATTTTTATGGGGATGTTTTTTTTTTTTTTTTTGCTAATTAGGGGGGCACGGAATCTTGGGTTTTTTAAGTAATACTGCAAAAAATATGGCAAAGACATTAACTATCTGTCCTGAATACATAGTGTTATGTTTGGGGCAAATCCAACACAACACATCACTGAGTACCACTCTTCATTTTTTCAAGCATGGTGGTGGCTGCATCATGTTATGGGTATGCTTGTCATCGTCAAGGACTAGGGAGTTTTTAGGATAAAAAGAAACGGAATACAGCTATAAGCACAGGCAAAATCCTAGAGGAAAACCTGGTTCAGTCTGCTTTCCAACAGACACTGAGAGAATAATTCATCTTTCAGCAGAACAATAACATGCTTACCAAGATGACATTGAATGTTCCTGAGTGGCCTAGTTACAGTTTTGACATAAATTGGCTTAAGAATCTATGGCAAGACTTGCAAATGGCTGTCTAGCAATGATCATTAATCAACTTGACAGAGCTTGAAGAATAAAAAATAAAATAATGTGGAAATATTCACAATCCAGGTGTACAAAGCTCTTCGAGACTTAACAAAAAAGACTCACAGCTGTAATCGCCGCCAAAGGTGCTTCTACAAAGTATTGAGTCATGGGTGTAAATATTTATGTAAATTAGATATTTGTGTATTTCGTTTTCAATACATTTGCTAAATTATCGAACAACATGTTTTCCCTTTATCATTATGTGGTATTGTGTGTAAATGGGTGAGAAAACAATATATTTAATCAATTTTGAATTCAGGCTGTAACACAACAAAATGTGGAATAAGTCAAGAGGTATGAATACATCTGAAGGCACCAAAAAGGATTGTAACCATAGGAGAACCCTTTTTTGGTGCTACATTTTATGTAACCTTTTTTAATGGTTCTTCATAGAACCTTAGGGAAGGGTTCTTTATAGGACCATGCAGGTGCTATTTAGAACCTTATGAACATGGTTCTTTATAGAACCAAAAAGGAGAAACCACTATGGCTACAAGACCAACAACCCTTATTTGGCACTACTTAGAACCATTTTTACTTTAGTTCATCATAGTGCAATGTATACGTACTCTATATCGCCCCCAGGTGGCCAGCAGTGAGTACTACGCCACCCCACACCACACCATACACCATGTAATCCTGTCTAATCTGTCTGTGGCCGCCGCACAACAGAGCATCTGGAGATAGAGCAAATCTGAGACGCCATGGAGGGATGGAGGGAGGGAACTATGCTGAGGCAGACTAAAAAGGGATGGAGGGATGGAGCTTAGCTACGTCAGAGAGAGATGGAGAGAGAGAGAGAGCTGGAAAGAGGGACACAGAGACAACATTTAAAAAATGGGAATAGATGGACATATGAAGTAGGCTACAGTAAACGGTTCAAGGAAACTATAAATATTGTATTGCTGCAAATAAAATAAAATATGTCTCCAATAGACAAGTAGCTCACCCCAGAACCTGGACTTGATTACGGTGAAAAGAGCTGCAAGGGGCCACAATAAAACCATATCCAATCAGCTGTAGTGGCATGTGATATACAAAAAGCTGTGCACCAAATAAAACCCAAAATATATATTATACATATATAAATATATTGACCAAAAATATAACATATCTTTAATAGACAACTAGTTCATCCCGGTAATTTGGCTGTAAGAAGTAGAAAGAGGGTACTAGGACCCAGATTAAACTCCCCCAAAAGAGCAGGAAGATGGTGACGGCATGTGTCATTCATTGTGGTTCTGTATGACTGAGTTAGTAGAGCTTGCACCGCCAGGATCGTGGGTTCGATTCCCGCTGGGACCACCCATAGGAAAATTTATGGACACACTACTGTAAATGGCTTTGGATAAAAACTAATTGGCATACAGAGCAGAGCTCTGTGTTGATGGTCAGAGTACTAGGATACTTACTGTGGCCTGCCCGTAGCAAGGCAGCAGGCCATCTACGGAGGGCGATAGGAACGGAATGGTGACGCTTGCCCCCATGGTTGAGGTGAATGTGGTGGAGGCCCTCCATTGCTCCTGTGGCCCCCACTGGTGGCCCAGAGTCAGGCCCAGATCCGGCCACACACCCCAGGGCTAGAGCAGTCATCCAGAGAACCAGGCCGACAGGGAAGACCGACGAGGTCAAGCCCCAGCAGTAGGGCTCCTGCCTGGGCCTCGAGGGTGGGGGGGGTGGGGGATTTCTGTGTCCTCCAACCTCCCAACATGATTCCCTGAGAGGCCAGCGAGGCGAGTTGAGTATCAAGGACCTTAGTGATGAGCCCGACGGCCCATAGTCCCCTTAGTTGCCAACCCAACGCTCACAAGCCCCAAGACACTCACACTGCTGACCGACCAACAAATCCACAGAGAATCCACTGCAGAAAAGAGTCAACCACGGAATGAGATTGGCAAAAGAAAAGAGAGCCTTCTTGCTGTTTTTCCAGTAGGTTAGGAAATCTGCAACGGTACCAAGGGGACCGTGGAGGAAGTACGATCATTCATTGTGGAAAAAACAAGAAAGGAGGAAAAAATATGCACTGAAGAAATTATGACACACTCCTCAAACAGGATCTGAGAAATCCCACACTGCTCCAATTCCCCTATCACACTTCCTCGCTTGCACTCTCACAGAATCAAATGCATACTTTTCTCCCCTCCAAAAATGAGAATACTCCAGAAAATCCACAGACTTTTCAGCCTCAGAATCTGAGGTAAAAAACACCACAGATAGAGTTTCAACATCTTCTTTTTCAGCAAAGCAATTAGAACATTCCCTCCTTTCAAGTTTTCCCTTCTTTATGTCCCTCCTGTATGTTTTCAGAGGATGTCCAGAGGATTTCGAGTGAATCCGAGGTAACGCTTTCTCATTTGCCTGTGGTGGTGGGCAACAGCTGCAACGTCAAGAGGATGGCACGATAATGGTTGCACCTGCGACGAGTGCCAAGCCACGCTCCTAGAGGTTCCCTTTACACTCTCTGTAAGACCCACTGGAGAGGCAACAACGCGGCAGCACCTGAGAGAGAGCGGCTGGTCTGGATACGGAGCCACTCACACACCCCTCTCTCACACACTCACAGGGTGAGAAACAGCGAGCGAGCACAGCTCCAGCAAGACGTGCGCAAGAGAAGGAGAAGGAGAGAGCAAGAGAGAGAGGGAGAAAGGAGGGGGAGCTCAAACAGCCAGCCGTGGAGCAAAAGGGAGAGGGTCTATGCAAATTACCAGGCTCCACACAGCGAATCAGTGGAGCCCGAGTGCATTGCAGGGGAAGAGCCTATTTGGCCAAAGAATAAGCAGGGGATGTGGGGCTCCGTCTCTCGCTCTCTCTTTCTCTTTATCTCTTTTTATTCTTCCCTCGTTCTCTCGCTCTCTCTATCCACTTCTACGCGGACCAACAATCTGATGGGCAGTGAATGGAAGGGAGGGTAACACAAAGCAGGGAGAGGTATACTATTCAGGCTGGTTTTTGTTCAAGTTATTTCTCTCTCTCTCTCTCTCTCTCTCTCTCTCTCTATCTCTATCTGTCTGGGTGGAGTGGTGGAGAGTATCAGAGCGGTCATGTAGAGAATTACAATAAGATCCTAGCAGTGCGGTCCGACAGTACAACGGATCCCATCCATGGGAGCTCTAGCTGTGTTGGCTGGCCGGCCATATGGCTTCTCAGCAGCCAATCACAGAGCTCTTTAATGGCCCCCTCCTCACTTATCCACACTGCAGCTTCAAAGGGAACGAAAGAAAAACTCTCTTTTTCTCTCTCTCTCCTCTTTTTCTCCTTTACTCTGAGCTCGCACTCCAATTTCCAGACTATCTGCAGCCAAACATGAGGGAAATGGGTTATGCCACTGAAGGAAGGATGTGGATCACACAAAGAGCAGTGAGTGGAGAGCTGTCCACAGGGAGGGTGCTGAAGTAAGCCTTGCTCACCTGGCAAAAAAAAAAAAACATTCATTCCCTCAGAGAGCTAACACAGAGCTAACAAAGAACCATTAATTCCCTCACCAAAGAGCTAATACAGAGCTAACACAGAGCCATTCATTCCCTCACCAGAGAGCTAACACAGAGCTAACACAGCACAGAGAAAGACTGAGAGCTATAACAGCATTATGCAGCACAGCACAGAGAGGAGAGTAAGACTGAGAGTGGAGTGGAGTTGATGAGGGTTAAGGAGGTACAGAGAACATGTAGACATAAAGCTCTGACTGCTGATAACGACTACACAGCAGAGCCATAGCTCTGTACTCAGTTCTGCTCTGTGATGTTAAACGATGCAGTGTCTATGCTTAGAGGGTCTGGCTCAGTGCTCAGCGCTTCTCAGTGCTTCTCTGTGCTCAGTGTGTCCAGGACTAAAAACTAAACAGGTTAAAGGCTCAGCTCTGTGCTCAGTGTGTCCAGGACTAAATAACTAAAATGATTAAAGGCTCATCTCTATGCTCAGTTGGTCCAGGACTAAAGAACTAAACAGGTTAAAGGCTCAGCTCAATGTTACACATTCAATTTTTGAGATCCTAGACTAATGCTTTGTGATACTCGGTTCTGTTTTCATGGTGGCCGTTCTGTTTGATGACATCCTCTTTGGACCACTGTGGTGTTCTTTCACAGCCGTAGGGAAAGAACAGCCTAACAGTGGTGTTGCTGCTAGTGAGGCTGAGTTGGGAAGCAGTGAGAAGACAGACTAGAGGAGAGAGTAGAGAGGAGAGAGGAGGAGATAGATGAGAGAGAAAAGAGTATAGAGGAGAGTATAGAGGAGAGATGAGAGAGTAGAGGAGAGGAGAGAGGAGAGAGGAGAGAGGAGAGAGGAGAGATGAGAGAGGGGAGAGGAGAGAGGAGAGAGGAGAGAGGAGAAAGGAGAGAGGAGAGAGTAGAGAGGAGAGGAGAGGAGAAGAGAGAGGAGAGAGGAAAGAGGAGAGAGGAGAGTGGAGAAAGGATAGAGGACAAAGGAGAGAGGAGAGAGGAGAGAGGAGAGAGGAGAGAAGAGTGAGGAGAGAGGAGAGAGGAGATAGGATAGAGGTGAGAGGAGAGAGGAGAGAGGATAAGGGGATAGAGGATAAGGGAGACAAGAGGGGAGAGAGGATAGAGGATAGAGGACAGAGGAGAAAGGAGAGAGGAGAGAGTAGAGAGGAGAGGAGAGGAGAATAGAGAGGAGAGAGAGAGGAAAGAGGAGAGAGGAGAGGAGAGGAGAATAGAGAGGAGAGAGAGAGGTAAGAGGAGAGAGGAGAGTATAGAGGAGAGAGGATAGAGGATAAGGGGATAGAGGATAAGGGAGACAAGAGAGGAGAGAGGATAGAGGATAGAGGACAGAGGAGAGAGGAGAGAGGAGAGAGGAGAGAGTAGAGGAGAGAGGAGAGAGGAGAGAGGAGAGACAAGAGAGGAGAGAGGAGAGGAGAGAGGTGAGAGGAGAGGGGAGAGAGGAGAGGATATAGGAGAGTGGAGAGTGGAGAATGGAGAGAGGGGACAGGAGAGAGGAGAGAGAAGAGAGAAGAAAGGAGAGAGGATAGAGAGAGGATGGGGAGACAGGAGAGGGGAGACAGGGGAGGAGAGAGGATATAGGAATGTGGAGAGTGGAGTGTGGAGAGAAGAGAGAGGAAGGGAGAAGCTGTAGCTCAGTTGGTAGAGCATGGCGCTTGCAACGCCAAGGTTGTGTGTTCGTTTCCCACGGGGGGCCAGTATGAAAATGTATGCACTCACTAACTGTAAGTCGCTCTGGATAAGAGTGTCTGCTAAATGACTGAAATGTAAATGTAAATGTAAGGAGAGAGGACAGAGGAGAGAGGAGAGGTGAGAGAGGAGAGAAGAGACTATAGAGAAGAGTGAAGAGAGGAGAGAGGAGAGAGGAGAGAATATAGAGGAGAGACCAGAGTGGAGAGAGGACAGAGGATAGATGAGAGATCAGAGAGGAGAGAGTAGGGAGGAGAATGGTGGGGGGAGAGAAGAAGAGAAAGGATAGAGGATAGTTAAGAGAGGATAGGGAAGACAGGAGAGGGGAGACAGGAGAGGAGAGAAGAGAGAGGAGAGGAGAGGAGAGGAGAGGAGAGGAGAGGAGAGGAGAGGAGAGGAGAGGAGAGGAGAGGAGAGGAGAGGAGAGGGAGAGGAGAGGAGAGGAGAGGAGAGGAGAGGAGAGGAGAGGAGAGGAGAGGAGAGGAGAGGAGAGGAGAGGAGAGGAGAGAGGCCAGAGGATAGACGAGAAAGGAGAGAGGAGAGAAGAGAGAGGAGAGAGGAGAGAACAGAGATGAAAGAGGAGGGGAGAGAGGATAGAGGATATAGGAAAGAGGAGAGTAGAGAGGACAGTGAAGAGAGGACAGAGTATAGATGAGAAAGGAGAGAGGATAAGGGGAAAGAGGATAAGGGAGACAAGAGAAGAGACAGGATAGAGGACAGAGGAGAGAGGAGAGAGGTGAAAGAAGAGAGCAGAGAGGAAATGATATAGAGGAGAGCATAGAGGAGATAGGAGAGAGGATAAGGGATAGAGAGTAGCGGAGACAAGAGAGGCGATAGGATATAGGATATAGGAGAGAGGATAGAGGATGGAGAAGAGAGAAGAGAGGATGAGGAGAGAGAGGAGGAGAGAGGATAGGAGAGAGAAGATGATAGAGGAGAAAGATGATAGGAGAGGAGAGAAGAGAGGAGAGGATGGAAGAGAGGAGAGGATAGAGGAGAGTGGAGAGAGGATAGGGGATAGAGAATAGGGGAAAGATGATAGATGATAGAGAATGCTGATAGAGGAGAGAGGATAAAGGAGAGGACAGAGGATAAGAGATAAAGGATAGGGGATAGAGAATAGGGGAAAGAGAATAGATGATGGGGGATAGAGAATAGGGATAGATGGTTGTCCATACGAATTCAAAGCAAATGCTGAAAAAGCAGCAAAATACAACTTGGTTGGAATGCTTCACTTATTCCAACTTTTGGAAAAAATGCTCATAAAGTTCTGATGAGGACACACTTTTTTTTTTTTACATTTATTGTAAATAAATATTTTCAGAAACCAATTTTTTGAATTTGCAAACACAACAGATGCTCCGAAAGTGAGAAGCCATGAAGTGAGAACTTCCTCTCAACACGCTATATAGGGTATCCACCTGATTTTACTGAATCAGCTATACACAACCTCCCCCGGAGCTCAATCCTTCGTCATTTGCAACCCGTGAAACTGAATACTGCTCTTGTTGAATTTGTTTACCCTAATTATGATCAGTATTAATTAATAAATTAATTAAGTGTGTGTGTGTGCGCATTAATGCATTTGTGTGTGTGTGTGCGTGTGTGTGTGTGTGTATGGGTGTTTGTGTTTAATAATAATTATCTGGGCTGCAATCTGCATAATTACAGATAATAAGGCAATCTATCAGGCCCGCACGCTTCACAAGGGCACGAGTCTGACTCCCTAAATCCCAACTCACAGGTAAAAATGTTCATGGCAACAACAACAATTGGTGACAAATCATGTCTACCAACTGTGATACCTGCTATACATCACACATCGTTGAGGTCTGATTTGGTGTTCTAAACAGAATGACACAAACCGATTCAGATGACATCACCAGCGAGGTGTCTTGTGACTATACCTAGGTCAGGTTTTATATCTGGTACTTGTTACATGGGTGCCACCATGTGGCAATATAGAAGTACTGCAATGACATCGTTTGTGTAGATTAGAAGATATTTCAGAAAAGGTAGCTGTGTTTCTAGAATGCCTCTGTTTGTGTCCCAAATGGCACCCTATGGCCTATGAGCCCTGGTCAAAAGTAATGCACTATAAAGGGAATAGGGTGCCATTTGGGATGCACCTATCTCTCTGTGAGGGGATAGGCAGTGTTACACTATGTCAGTAACTCTTGGACTAGTACCTATTCCTGCTCCAGTAAACCTCTCAAGATACTGGAGAATAAGAGAGAAAGAGAAAGAGAGGGAGAGAGCAAGAGAGAGAGAGCATGCGAGAGAGTGTGAGAGAGCCCTGTCAAAGCCCTGTCACCCAGAGGATGCTTTTGTAAGACACAGAGGATGATATTGTTGCACAGAGGAAAATAAAACAGAACCAGGTTTAGGAAAAAAGTACAGAGGAAAAAAGAGAGAAAGGCCCATAAAAAAGCTTGAGTCAAGTGCATATACTGTTTGGTTTTATCCATTTACATACATTTACGTCATTTAGCAGACGCTCTTATCCAGAGCGACTTACAAATAGGTGCATTCACCTTATAGCCAGTGGGAGGGGGGGGGGGGGGGGGGGGGGGGGGGGTAGAGGAGAGTAGAGTAGGAGGTGGAGTGGTAGGAGGTGGAGTGGTAGAGGAGAGGAGAGCAGAGGAGAGGAGAGGAGGTGGAGGGGTAGAAGAGAGGAGAGGATAGGATAGAGAGAGGATAGAGAGAGGATAGAGAGAGAGAGAGAGAGAGAGAGAGAGAGAGAGAAACTCAATTTGGCATGAGGGTCTGCTATACAAATTGATGGAAAATGGTGTGGGGGGAAAACATATGACATTATAAAATCTATATACACAAACAACAAGTGTGCGGTTAAAATTGGGAAAAAAAAATCTTTCCACGGGGCCGTGAGGTGAGACAGGCATGCACCTTGAGCCCCACCCTCTTCAACATATATATTTATATATATCAACGAATTGGCGAGGGCACTAGAACATTCTGCCTCACCCTACTAAAATCTGAAGTCAAATGTCTACTGTTTGCTGATTATCTGGTGCTTCTGTCCCCAACCAAGGAGGGCCTACAGCAGCACCTACATCTTCTGAATAGATTCGGTCAGACCTGGGCCCTGACATTATATCTCAGTAAAACAAAAATAATGTTGTTTGAAAAAAGGTCCAGTTGCCACAAATACAAATTCCATCTAGACACTGTTGCCCTAGAGCACACAAAAAGCTATACATACCTCGGCCTAAACATCAGAACCACAGGTGGTTCAAAGCTGTGAACAATCTGAGAGACAAGGCAAGAAGGGCCTTCTATGCCATCAAAAGGAACATAAAATTCGACATACCAATTAGGATCTGGCTAAAAATATATAAATCTGTTATAGAACCCATTGCCCTTTATGGTCTGGGGTCCGCTCACCTACCAAGAATTCACAAAATGGGATAAACACTCAATTGAGACTCTGCATGCAGAATTCTGCAAAAATATCCTCAGTGTACAATGTAAAACACCAAATAATGCATGCAGAGCAGAATTAGGCCGATACCCGCTAATTATCAAAATCCAGAAAAGAGCCGTTAAATTTTACAACCACCTAAAAGGAAGTGATTCCCAAACCTTCCATAACAAAGCCATCAACTACAGAGAGATGAACTTGGAGAAGAGTCCCCTTAGCAAGCTGGTCCTGGGGCTATGTTCACAAACACAAACAGACCCCACAGAGCCCCAGGACAGCAACACAATTAGACCCAACCAAATCATGAGAAAACAAAAAGAGAATTACTTGACACATTGGAAAGAATTAACAAAAATCTGAGCAAACTAGAATGCTATTTGGCCCTAAACAGAGCGTACACAGTGGCAGAATACCTGACCACTGTGACTGACCAAAAATGAAGGAAAGCTTTGACTATGTACAGACTCAGTGAGCATAGCCTTGCTATTGAGAAAGGTCGCCGTAGGCAGACCTGACTCTCAAGAGAATACAGGCTATTTACACACTGCCCACAAAATTAGGTGGAAACTAAACTACACTTCGTGACCTCCTGCCAAGTGTGTGACCATATTAGAGACACATATTTCCCTCAGATTACACAGACCCACAAAGAATTTGAAAACAAACCCAATTTTGATAAAATCCCATATCTATTGGGTGAAATACCACAGTGTGCCATCACAGCAGCAAGATGTGTGACCTGTTGCCACAAGAAAAGGGCAACCAGTGAAGAACAAACCACATTGTATGTATTTATGTTAATTTATTTTCCCTTTTGTACTTGAACTATTTGCACATCGTTACAACACTGTATATAGACATAATATGACATTTGAAATGACCCTATTCCTTTGGAACTGATGTTTATGGTATATTTTGTATTGTTTATTTCACTTTTGTTTATTATCTATTTCACTTGCTTTGGCAATGTTAACATATGTTTCCCATGCCAATAACGCCCTTTGAATTGAATTGAGAGAGTGAGAGAGAGAGTTGGCAGTTCTGAGGGGTAGCACAACAAACCATCCATGAACAGTCATGCGTGACACAGGCACACATGAACCACACTGTTCAGTGGGGACACATCTGTGTGTTGGTGCAATCAATCCCAACCACTACCCCCAACACCTCCACCACCCCAAGCCCCAGGGAACGTGTGCCCAAGATGCCCATCCCTCTCTGGGGGTTTTAACCTGGCTGACTGGGTAATGATGAGTACATGGAGATGGTGACAAAACCCTGTGTTACAAGTGTGATACAAGTGCCTCCCTCTCTCTCTCTAAACATTTTACATTTTAGTCATTTAGCAGATGCTCTTATCCAGAGCGACTTACAGTTAGTGAGTGCATACATTTTCCATACTGGCCCCCCGTGGGAATCGAACCCACAACCCTGGCGTTGCAAGCACCATGCAAGCACGATGCTCTACCAACTGAGCAGAAGGTTCAGTTGTTGACATGAGATCAAATCCCGGGTTGGCCGTTCAGGGATGGTTTATTTCCCACAGCTTAGTGGGGTAAAAATTGAATTTATGGAGCTCCATCAGTCACTGCTACAATAGACAGACACTTTAATGGTGACTTAGTCATGTGTGGAAGGTCTGACAGCAAGAAAATAGCAGTGATCAGAATTGTACTGCACCATGGACAGCGTTGACTAAAACACAGCTCTCCACACAACAGAAAAGGAAAAGACAAAAGAAGACAGGTTGAAGCTCATTCAAACACACTCCACCACAGTCCAAAAACATTCCACCACAGTCCACACACGCTCCACCAAAGTCCACACACACTCCACCACAGTCCGCACACACTCCCCCACAGTCAACACACGCTCCACCACAGTTCAAACATGCTCCACCAAAGTCCACCTACGCTCCACCACAGTCCACATACGCTCCACCACAGTCCACACAAGCTCCACAACAGTCCAAACACGCTCCACCACAGTCCACACATTCTCCACCCCAGTCCATACACGCACCAACACAGTCCACACACGGTCCATCACAGTTCAAATACGCTCCATCACAGTCCACACACACTCAACCACAGTCCACACAAGCTCCACCACAGTTCAATTACGCTCCACCACAGTCCACACACACTCCACCACAGTCCACACATGCTCCACCACAGTCAACACATACTCCACCACAGTCCACACATTCTCCACCACAGTCCACACACGCTCCACCACAGTCCACACACGCTCCGCATCAGTCCACACACGCTCCACCACAGTCCACATACACTCCACCACAGTCCACACACGCTCCACCACAGTCCACACACACTCCCCCAAAGTTCACATACGCTCCACCACAGTGCACACATGCTCCACCACAGTTCAAATACGCTCCATCACAGTCCAAAAAAGCTCCAGCACAGTTCAATTACGCTCCACCACAGTACACACACGCTCCACCACAGTGCAAATATGCTCCACAACAGTCCACACACACTCCACCACAGTCCACATACACTCCACCACAGTCCACACACTATCCACCACAGTCCACACATACTCCACCACAGTCCATACACACTCCACCACAGTCCACATACACTCCACCACAGTCCACACACTCTCCACCACAGTCCACACACACTCCACCACAGTCCATACACACTCCACCACAGTTCACATACGCTCCACCACAGTGCACACTTGCTCCACCACAGTTCAAACACGCTCCATCACAGTCCACACACGTTCCACCATAGTCCACACACACTCCACCATCAGTCACTGCTATCATAGACAGACACTTTAGTGGTGACTTAGTCATGTGTGGAAGGTCTGAAAGCAAGAAAATAGCAGTGATCAGAATTGTACTGCACCATGGACAGATTTGACTAAAACACAGCTCTCCACACAATAGAAAAGCAGAAGCCAATGGAAGACATGTAGAAGCTAATTCAAACACGTTCCACCACAGTCCAAACACTCGACCACAGTCAACACACGCTCCACCACAGTCCAATATCGCTCCACCACAGTCCACACATGCTCCAACACAGTCCAAAAATATTCCACCACAGTACACATACGCTCTACCACAGTCCACTCACGCTCCACCACAGTTCAAATGTGCTCCACCACAGTCCAAAAAAGCTCCACAACAGTTCAATTACGCTCCAGCACAGTCCACGCACGCTCCACCACAGTCCACACAAGCTTCACCACAGTTCAATTACACTTCACCATAGTCCACACACGCTACACCACAGTCCACACAAGCTCCACCACAGTTCAATTATGATCCACCACAGTCCACACACGCTTCACCACAGTCCACACATACTCCACCACAGTCCACACACGCTCCACCACAGTCCACATATGCTCCACCACAGTCCACACCACCACAGTTCAAACATTATCCACCACAGTCCACACACGCTCCACCACAGTGCACACACGCTCCACACAGTCCACACACACTCCACCACACTCCACACATGCTCCACCACAGTTCAAACATAATCCACCGCAGTCCACAAACGCTCAGCCACAGTCCACACTCGCTCCACCAAAGTCCACCAATGCTCCACCACATCCACAGACGCTCAACCAAAGTCGGCACACTCTCGAACACTCTCCTCCACTATCCACATATGCTCTACCACAGTCCATACATGCTCTACCACAGTCCACACACGCTCCACCACAGTTCAAGCACGCTCCACCACAGTCCACACACGCTCAACAACATTCCACACACACTCCACCAAAACCACAGTCGCTCCACCACAGTCCACACATTCTCCACCACAGTCCACACACGCTCCACCACAGTTCAAATACGATCCACCACAGTCCACACATGTTCCACCACAGGTCAAAGATGCTCCACCACAGTCCACACACACTCCACCACAGTCCAGACACGGTCCACCTCAGTCCAAATATGCTCCACCACAGTCCACACATGCTCCACCACAGTCAAACACGCTCCACCACAGTCCACAGACGCTCCACCACAGTCAAAACACTCTCCACCACAGTCCACACACATGCTATACCACTGTCCACACACGCTCCACCACAGTCCACACATGCTTCACCACAGTTCAAACACGCTCCACCACAGTCCAAACACGCTCAACCACAGTCCACAAACGCTCAACCACAGTCCACAAACATTCCACCATAGTCCACACATGCTTCACCACAGTCCACATATGCTCCACCACAGTCCACACACGCTCCACCACATTCCACACAAACTCCACCACAGTCCACACACGCTCCCCCACAGTCCACAAATGCTCCACCATAGTCCACACACACTTCACCACAGTTCAAACATGCTCAACCAAAGTTCAAACATGCTCCACCACAGTTCAAACATGCTCCACCACAGTCACACACATTCCACCACAGTCCAGATACTCTCCACCACAGTCCACACACATGCTCTACCACAGTCCACGCACGATCCACCACATTCCACACACACCCCACCACAGTCCACACACGCTCCACCATAGTCCACACACGCTCTACCACAGTTCTAACATTCTCCACCACAGTCCACACACGCTCCACCACAGTGCACACATGCTCCACAACAGTCAACACACACTCCACCACAGTCCACATACACTCCAACACAGTCCACACACTCTCCACCACATTCCACACATGCTCCACCACAGTCCATACACACTCCACCACAGTTCACATACGCTCCACCACAGTGCACACTTGCTCCACCACAGTTCAAACACGCTCCAACACAGTCCACACACGTTCCACCACAGTCCACACACACTCCACCATCAGTCACTGCTATCATAGACAGACACTTTAGTGGTGACTTAGTCATGTGTGGAAGGTCTGAAAGCAAGAAAATAGCAGTGATCAGAATTGTACTGCACCATGGACAGATTTGACTAAAACACAGCTCTCCACACAATAGAAAAGCAGAAGCCAATGGAAGACATGTAGAAGCTAATTCAAACACACTCCACCACAGTCCAAACACTCGACAACAGTCCACACAAGCTCCACCACAGTCCAAACTCGCTCCACCACAGTCCACACATGCTCCAACACAGTCCAAAAATATTCCACCACAGTACACATACGTTCTACCACAGTCCACAAACGCTCCACCAAAGTCCAAATATGCTCCACCACAGTCCACACACGCTCCACCACAGTTCAAATATGCTCCAACACAGTCCAAAAAAGCTCCACAACAGTTCAATTACGCTCCAGCACAGTCCACTCACGCTCCACCACAGTCCACACAAGCTCCATCACAGTTCAATTACACTTCACCATAGTCCACACACGCTACACCACAGTCCACACAAGCTCCACCACAGTTCAATTACGCTCCACAACAGTCCACACACGCTTCACCACAGTCCACACATACTCCACCACAGTCCACACACGCTCCACCACAGTCCACATACGCTCCACCACAGTCCACACCACCACAGTTCAAACATTATCCACCACAGTCCACACACGCTCCACCACAGTGCACACACGCTCCACACAGTCCACACACACTCCACCACACTCCACACATGCTCCACCACAGTTCAAACATAATCCACCGCAGTCCACAAACGCTCAGCCACAGTCCACACTCGCTCCACCAAAGTCCACCAATGCTCCACCACATCCACAGACGCTCAACCAAAGTCGGCACACTCTCGAACACTCTCCTCCACTATCCACATATGCTCTACCACAGTCCATACATGCTCTACCACAGTCCACAAATGCTCCACCACAGTTCAAGCACGCTCCACCACAGTCCACACACGCTCCACAACATTCCACACACACTCCACCAAAACCACAGTCGCTCCACCACAGTCCACACATTCTCCACCACAGTCCACACACGCTCCACCACAGTTCAAATACGATCCACCACAGTCCACACATGTTCCACCACAGGTCAAAGATGCTCCACCACAGTCCACACACACTCCACCACAGTCCAGACACGGTCCACCTCAGTCCAAATATGCTCCACCACAGTCCACACATGCTCCACCACAGTCAAACACGCTCCACCACAGTCCACAGACGCTCCACCACAGTCCAGACACTCTCTACCACAGTCCACACACATGCTCTACCACTGTCCACACACGCTCCACCACAGTCCACACATGCTTCAACACAGTTCAAACACACTCCACCACAGTCCACACACGCTCAACCACAGTCCACAAACGCTCAACCACAGTCCACAAACAGTCCACCATAGTCCACACATGCTTCACCACAGTCCACATATGCTCCACCACAGTCCACACACGCTCCACCACAGTCCACACACGCTCTACCACAGTCCACGCACGATCCACCACAGTCCACACAAACTCCACCACATTCCACACACGCTCCACCACAGTCCACACACGCTCCCACACAGTCCACAAATGCTCCACCATAGTCCACACACACTTCACCATAGTTCAAACATGCTCAACCAAAGTTCAAACATGCTCCACCACAGTTCGAACATGCTCCACCACAGTCACACACATTCCACCACAGTCCAGATACTCTCCACCACAGTCCACACACATGCTCTACCACAGTCCACGCACGATCCACCACATTCCACACACACCCCACCAAAGTCCACACACGCTCCACCACAGTCCACACACGCTCTACCACAGTCCACGCACGATCCACCACAGTCCACACAAACTCCAACACATTCCACACACGCTCCACGACAGTCCACACACACTCCCCCACAGTCCACAAATGCTCCACCATAGTCCACACACACTTCACCACAGTTCAAACATGCTCCACCACAGTCACACACGCTCCACCACAGTCCAGACACTCTCCACCAAAGTCCACAAACATTCCACCATAGTCCAAACATGCTTAAATACAGTCCACATATGCTCCACCACAGTCCACACACGCTCCACCACAGTCCACACACGCTTCACTACAGTCCAAACACACTCCACCTCAGTCCACACATGCTCCAACACAGTCCACATACACTCCACCACAGTCCACAGACGCTCCACCACAGTCCACACACATGCTCCACCACTGTCCACACATGCTCCACCACAGTCCACACATGCTTCACCACAGTTCAAATACGCTCCACCACAGTCCACACACATGCTCCACCACAGTCCACACACGCTCAACCACAGTCCACAAACATCCCACCATAGTCCACACATGGTTCACCACAGTCCACATACGCTCCACCACAGTCCACACACGCTCCACCACAGTCCACACACACTCCACCTCAGTCCACACATGCTCCAAAACAGTCCACATACACTCCACCACACTCCACACACATTCCAGCAAATTCCACACATGTTCCACCACAGTCCACACACGCTCCATCACAGTCCACTTACACTCCAACACAGTCCACACAAGCTCCAACACAGTCCAAACACGCTCCAACACAGTTCAAATACACTCCACCACAGTCCACAAACGCTCCACCACAGTCGACACAAGCTCCACCAAAGTTCAATTAATCTCCACCACAATCCACCCACACTCCCTCACAGTCCACAAATGCTCCACCACAGTCCACATACACACTCCACCACAGTTCAAACATGCTCAACCACAGTCCACACACGCTCCACCACAGTTCAAACATACTCCACCACAGATCAAACACTCTCCACCACAGTCCACACACGTTCAACCTCAGTCCAAAAACGCTCCACCACAATCCACAATGCTCCAAAACAGTCACCCACACTCCACCACAGTCCACAGACGCTCCACCACAGTCCAGACACTCTCCACCAAAGTCCACACACATTATCCACCACTGTCCACACACGCTCCACCACAGTCCATACACACTCCATCATAGTTCAAATACGCTCCACCACAGTCCACACACGCTCTACCACAGTCCACACACGCTCCACCACAGTCCACACACACTCCACCACAGTCCACACATGCTCCACCACAGTCCAAATACGCTCCACCACAGTCCACACACGCTCCACCACAGTCCACATACACTCCACCACAGTCCACACACATTCCACCACATTCCACACAGGCTCCACCACAGTCCACACATGCTTCACCACAGTCCACATACACTCCACCACAGTCCACACACATTCCACCACATTCCACACATGCTCCACCACAGTCCACACACGCTCCAACCACAGTCCCCTCACGCTCCAACACAGTTCAAATACACTCCACCACAGTCCAAAAAAGCTCCACCACAGTCCACACACACTCCACCACAGTTCAAACATGCTCAACCACAGTCCACACACGCTCCATAGTCCACACACGCTCCACCATAGTTCAAACATGCTCCACCACAGTTCAATTACGCTCCACCACAGTCCATACACGCTCCACCACAGTCCACACACAATCCACCACAGTTCAAACATGCTCCACCACAGTCACACACGCTCCAACACAGTCCAGACACTCTCCACCACAGTCCACACACATTCCACCACTGTCCACACACGCTCCACCATAGTCCACACATTTCCCACCACTGTCCACAAACGCTCCACCACAGTCCACACATGCTCCACCACAGTCCACACACGCTCCACCACAGTCCACACACGCTCCACCACAGTCCACACACGCTCCACCACAGTTCACATACACTCCACCACAGTTCAAAACGCTCCACCACAGTCCACGCACTCTCCATCACAGTACACATACTCCACCACAGTCCACACATGCTCCACCACAGTTCATATACACTCCACCACAGTCCACACACACTAGCGATAGAGAGGGTGGAATATATCTATGGCAGTGCAAAGCTGTGATGTTAATCTTTACTGATGCTGACACAATCATGCACCAATAAACACAGTTTTAGCTTGATCACTCAGAGATAAGGCTCGATGTGCACTGACATATGCAGAAAGAAAACATTACATATACACAGTACAAATCAGAACACATGGACAAGAGTCTCTTCACCACAGTCCTGACACTCTCCACCACAGTCCACATACATGCTCCACCACTGTCCACACACGCTCCACCCAGTCCACACACACTCCACCACAGTCCACATACGCTCCACCACAGTCCACACACGCTCCACCACAGTCCACACACGCTCCACCACAGTCCACACACGCTCCACCACATTCCACACACGCTAAACCACAGTCCACATACACTCCACCACAGTCCACACACGCTCCACCACAGTCCACACACGCTCCACCACAGTCCACACACGCTCCACCACAGTCCACACACGCTCCACCACATTCCACACACGCTCCACCATAGTCCACATACACTCCACCACAGTCCACACATGCTCCACCACAGTCCACACACACTCCACCACAGTCCACAAACATTCAACCACATTCCACATTATCCACCACAGTCCACACACGCTTCCCACAGTCCACACCCACTCCACCACAGTCCACACACAATCCACCACAGTCCACACACGCTCCAACACAGTCCACACAAGCTCCACCACAGTTCAATTAATCTCCACCACAGTCCACACACGCTCCCCCACAGTCCACAAATGCTACAGCACAGTCCATACACACTCCACCACAGTTCAAACATGCTCCACCACAGTCCACACACGCTCCACCACAGTCCACACACGCTCCACCACAGTCCACACACGCTCCACCACAGTCCACACACGCTCCACCACAGTCCACACACACTCTCCCACAATCCACAAATGCTCCACCACAGTCCACACACACTCCACCACAGTTCAAACATGCTCAACCACAGTCCACTTACGCTCCACCACAGTCCACACTCGCTTTACCACAGTCCAGATACGCTCCACCACAGTCCACACATGCTCCACCACAGTTCATATACACTCCACCACAGTCCACACACACTAGCGAGAGAGAGGGCGGAATATATCTATGGCAGTGCAACGCTATGATGTTAATCTTTACTGAACTGACACAATCATACACCATTAAACACAGTTTTAGCTTGATCAGAGATAATGCTCGATGTGCACTGACAGATGCAGAAAGAAAACACTACATATACACAGTACAAATCAGAACACATGGACAAGAGACTCTTCACATCGTGTCAGGTACAGCTAGAAGACAAAGCATCTCTCTCTTTCTCTCTCTCTCTCCCCTCCTCCGATATGTGGTTTCTTCTATGTCCTCAACAATGATCTGCCCTAGTTAGACAACATTTCCTGGTCTTGGGTTACAGGCTCAAAGTAGGTATCTGTGCCAGTCAGTGAAATGGGCGCAAGTAGGTAAAGTCTGATGGCAGGGAAGCTACAGTATGTTTGATTTAATCCTCTAGAGAAGGGTTTCCCAAACTCGGTCCTGGGGCCCCTCCTGGGTGCACGTTTTGGTTTTTGCGTTAGCACTACACAGCTGATTCAAATAATCAAAGGTTGATGATGACTTGGTTATTTGAATCAGCTGTGTAGGGGGGGACCGAGTTTCGGAAACCCTGCTCTAGAGTATAATATCACTGCAACTGAACAGCTTGGTGAAAGCTGCCATAGACAGAGGGCTATATTTTCCTTTGGCAAAGAGACCTGGGCTGTGAGCTAGTTAAGCTAGTTCAGCTGGTAGACACCTGGGCTGTGAGTTAGTTAAGCTTGTTGAGCTGGTAGACACCTAGGCTGTGAGTTAGTTAAGCTTGTTGAGCTGGTAGACACCTAGGCTGTGAGTTAGTCAAGCAAGTTGAGCTGGTAGACACCTGGGCTGTGAGTTAGTTAAGCTAGGTGAGCTGGTAGACACCTGGGCTGTGGGATAGTTAAGATAGTTGAGCTGGTATATGCCTGGGCTGTGGGCTATTTAAGTTGAGCTGGTAGACACGTGGGCTGTGAGCTAGTTAACTAGTTGAGCTGGTAGACACCTGGGCTGTGAGCTAGTTAAGCTAGTTGAACTGGTAGACACCTGGGCTGTGAGCTAGGAAAGTTAAATTCAAAACTGCAGTGCGGCTTATGTACATACCTTTTCTTTAACTATTCTTTAAATCTAAAGGTTGAACTTTAGATTTAGTTACACACACCACACAACAACGCAATGCAAGGTACAGTATCGAAGCCCCAGTTATTTGGAATATTGCAGTACGTTAGTTTACAGCACAACTGTTTCTGCGAGGGGTAAATTATGCCCAGAGCTGATAAAAGGCGAGGTGATCAGTAAGATATCAGAGAGGAGAACATAAGCATCCTTTATAACATGCCCCTTCACACAGACAGCACAAAAGAGCATCTTCAACCTCACGGGGCTAAAGACATTTGGCTTGGCCCCTAAGACCCTCACGAACCAATGAGAGCATCCTGTTGGCTTGTATGACCGCTTGGTATGGAAATTGCACTGTCTGCAACAGAAGGGCTCTCCAGAGGGTGGTGTGGTCCCTTCAGGACATCTACAGCACCTACAGGAAGGCCAAGAAGATCATCAAGAACCTCAACCACCCGAGCCACAGCCTGTTCAACCCGCTACCATCTAAAAGGCTGAGATAGTACAGGTGCATCAAAGCTTGGACCGAGAGACTGTGAAACAGCTTCTATCTCCAGGCCATCAAACTGTTAAACAGTCAACACTAACTGGCCTCCACCCAGTACCCTGCCCTGAACTTTAGTCACTGTTACTAGAAGGCTACCACCCGGTACTCTACCCTCAACCTTAGAGACTGCTGCCCTATGTACATAGAGTCATTGAACACTGGTCACGATAATAATGTTGACATATTGTATTTACATAAGTATTCAGACCCTTTGGTATGAGATTCGAAATTGTGCTCAGGTGCATCATCCTTGAGATGTTTCTACAACTTGATTGGAGTCCACCTGTGGTAAATTCAATTGATTGGACATGATTTGGAAAGGCACACACCTATCTATATAAGGTCACACAGTTGAGAGTGCATGTCAGAGCAAATACCAAGCCCTGAGGTCAAAGGAATTGTCCGTAGAGCTCAGAGACAGCATTGTGTCGAGGCACAGATCTGGGGAAGGGTACCAAAAAATGTCTCCAAGAACACAGTGGCCTCCATCATTCTTAAATGGAAGGAGTTTGGAACCACCAAGACTCTTTGTAGTAAAAGGCACATGACAGGCACATGACAACCCGCTTGGAGTTTGCCAAAATGCACCTAAAGACTCTCAGACCATGAGAAACAAGATTCTCTGGTCTGATGAAATTAAGATTGAACACTTTGGCCTAAATGCCAAGCGTCACGTCTGGAGGAAACCTGTCACCATCCCTACGGTGAAGCATGGTGGTGGCAGCATCATGCTGTGGGGATGTTTTTAAGTGGCAGGGACTGGGAGACTAGTCAGGATAAAGGCAAATATTACAGAGGAAAGTACAGAGAGATCCTTGATGAAAACCTGCTCCAGAGCACTCAGATCCTCAGATTGAAGGTTCACCTTCCAACATTACAACAACCCCTAAGGATATAGCCAAGACAATTCAGGAGTTGCTTCGGGACAATTCTCTGAATGTCCTTGAGTGGCCCAGCCAGAGCCCGGACTTGAACCCGATCGAACATCTCTGGAGAGACCTGAAAATAGCTGTGCAGCAACGCTCCCCATTCAACCTGATAGAGCTTGAGAGGATCTGCAGAGAAGAATGGGAGAAACTCCCCAAATAAAGGTGTGCCAAGCTTGTAGCATCATACACAAGAATAATCTATGCTGTAATCGCTGATAAAGGTGCTTCAACAAAGTACTGAGTAAAGGGTCTGAATACTTCTGTAAATTTGATATTTCTGTTTATTTGATTTTATAAATTAGAAAAAATATATAAAAACATGTTTTTGCTTTGTCATTATGGGGTATTGTGTGTAGATTGATGAGGGAAAAAAAAGTTGTAATCAATTTTAGAATAAGGCTGTAATGTAACAAAATGTGGAAAAAGTCAAGGGGTTTGAATACTTTCCGAAGGCACTATACATACAATTCATCGGCAAAAGCTTGTGGACACCTGCTTGTCGAAAATCTCATTCCAAAATCATGGGCATTAATATGGAGTTGGTCACCCCTTTGCTGATATAACATCCTCCACTCTTCTGGGAAGGATTTGCACTAGATGTTGGAACATTGCTGTAGGGACTTGCTTCCATTCAGCCACAAGAGCATTAGTGAGGTCGGGCACTGATGTTGGGCGATTAGGCCTGGTTCACAGTCAGTGTTCCAATAATCCCATAGGTGATCGATGGGGTTGAGGTCAGTGCTCTGTGAAGGCCAGTCAAGTTCTTCCACAATGATCTCGACAAACCATTTCTGTATGGACTTCGCTTTGTGCTCGGGGGCATTGTCATGCTGAAAAAGGAAAGAGCCGCACCCAAACTCTTGCCACAAAGTTGGAAGCACAGAATCATCTGCAATATAATTGTATGCTGTAGCGTTAAGATTTTCCTTCACTTGAACTAAGGGGCCTAGCCTAAACCAGACCATTATTCCTCCTCCACCAAACTTTACAGTTAGCACTAAGCATTGGGGCAGGTAGCGTTCTCCTGGCATCCGCCAAACTCAGATTCGTCCGTTGGACTGCCAGATGGTGAAACGTGATTCATCACACCAGAAAACGCATTTCCACTGCTCCAGAGTCCAATGGAAGCAAGCATCATACCACTCCAGCCCATGCTTGACATTGCACATGGTAATCTTTGGCTTGTGTGCGACTGCTCGCCCATCGAAACCCATTTCATGAAGCTCTCGACGAACAGTAATTGTGCTGACGTTGCTTCTAGAGACAGTTCGGAACTCAGTAGTGAGTGTTGCAGCCGAGATGATTTTTACGCACTACGCGCTTCATCACTCAGATGACCCGTTCTGTGAGCTTGCGTGACCTCTTGCTCCTAGACGTTTCCACTTCATAATAACATCACCAGTAGTGTGGCAGTTCTTGACACACTCAGACTGGTGCGCCTGGAACGTACTACCGGTGCTTGACTTGGGCAGGAGCTTACCGGAGCTGAGTACCGGCACCTCAACTTTTCTACTGCTTCAGCTCCTGTTCCGCTCATAGAATATTAGCTCAAAAGTATTGTGGAGCTCCTGCACCTAAATAGAGACAGTTCCGGCACCCATAATGGAAAGGGCCGGTGTTCCTAATGTTTTGTACACTCAGTGTATATTTATATTCCGGTCTCCAACATTGCAAATTTCTTTTTCTTTTTTTACATTTTGTGTGTATTGTTATTTTTCATTACTAGGTATTACTGCACTGTTGGCGCTAGAAACAAGCATTTTGCTACACTTGCGATAACATCTACAAATCTGTGTGGCTCATTTGGTAGAGCATCGCGTTTGCAATGGCAAGGCTCATGGTTTTGATTCATGCTGGGGACACGCATACAAAAAATGCACACACTACTGTAAGTCACTTTGGATAAAAGTGTCTGCTAAAACTGTATATACAGTACAGGTAAAATAAAGGAAACAATTGAGTAAAGGAGGGTTCTGGCGGCTCTGTTATGGTGTGGGGTTTTCCTGCCAGGGTTTAGGTCCACTCAACCCCTTAGAGGGCGAGGTAAACGCCAATACACAGGCATTCTGAGTGATCACCTTCAACCTATGGTGAATCAAATCAAATCAAATCAAATCAAATCAAATCAAATTTTATTGGTCACATGCGCCGAATACAACAGGTGCAGACATTACAGTGAAATGCTTACTTACAGCCCTTAACCAACAGTGCATTTATTTTAAACAGAAAAGTAAGAATAAAACAACAACAAAAAAGTGTTGAGAAAAAAAGAGCAGAAGTAAAAAATAAAGTGACAGTAGGGAGGCTATATATACAATAGAATAAAGTGACAGTAGGGAGGCTATATATACAGGGGGGTACCGTTGCATAGTCAATGTGCGGGGGCA